GGCCCAGGGTGTGATCCTGGAGTCCCAGGATCGAGTCCCACATCAGGCTCCCTGCATGGAGCCTGCTTCTCCCTCTGCCTGTGTCTCTGCCTCTCTGTGTGCGTATGTCTCTCATGAATAAATAAATAAATCTTTAAAAAATAATAATTCCAATCCTTATATGAAAACCATGTCTGAATTAAACTGCAATAATGAAAACATAAAGCATATCCTGAAACATTTAAAAGGACTGGACAAGAGGATTAATAAGCAGGACATTATGGAACAGGAAAGGAACATTACAGGAACAATTTTTAACTAGTTAAGTAATGGTCTTGCACATAAAGACGGTGGCCTATTTTTCATTTGATAAAATAGGGGAAAAGATGTCTTGTGTCATGGATTAAGGTAAAAAAAATCAGACGCTAAAGGCTACAGGTTTATTTTTTTAATCTGTCTACTCCCACTACCTAGTCCACATTGCAGTTTTTCAGAGTGGACATGAGAGAACTACTTACCCCATTCATTGTCAAATAAAGCAATAATCTACACTTAAAAATATTTATTTGGATTTTGTAATTGTTTGAGACTCCAATGATTTCAACCCCCTTCCCGGTTGGGAATATCTCTCATTGTGTGAGATTCAAAAACAGGATCCCTTCCCACTATATAAATCCGAAAAGTTAAATTCTCCATTTATACATCTCCAAGCAGCCAAGGTATGAAAAAGACCTATGGTTAGCCAAGTAGATGCTACTAAGCAGGACTTTGAATCCTCTCAAGTGATATAAAGCTGTTAGAACCATTTAGAATGCGTTCTAGCCATGCCTGAAGAATGCAGAATGCACAGGAAGGATGCCAGGGTGGGATCCAGGCAGGGTCCAGTGTAATGACAGGAATATCCTAATCAAACATCCCTGTGCCTTCATCTTTCAGGTAGCTGTGAACCCACCCACATGGCTTTCTGTTGCCCCTGCCCCTTTCAACAAAGGTTCTTCCAGCTTTTCATCTCTCTTCAGAGCTATTAAGGATGCTTCTGTACTAGTTAGGGTACAGGTTAGGAAAACCAAAACTAAGTTGCTTAAATAAGCTAAAAGTTAATTTCTCCCTAATGAAACATTCTAGACCAAATAGGTAAGTAATACTGGCTATTCTAATTATGCCATCTACTAGCATTTGGAAAGACCTCAATGATCTAAAAGTTCCACACAGCACTTCCACTCATGTCCTATTTACCTGAACTTAGTACAATAGCCATTCTAGCTGCAAGAAAGGCTAAGAAATGTGCTATGTAGCTGGAAGGCCATCCTGAGCTAAAAACTCAGTGAATTCTATTACTAAAAAGAAGGGAAGAATGAATTCTGGGAGATAATGGTCTCTGCCATACTTTCCAATAACTTTCTTTTCTGCTCTAGTAAGCCAGAACTGTTTCTGCTTAGAATCAAAGACTTCCAGTGATTCAGATTTTGTTTAATTTACGTAAAAGAAACTTGGAGCCACTCTAATTAGGGAATTAATGGGTTGGGGGGAGGGAAGCACCACAACTTGGAGACTGCTTCGTAAATTAATGTTATACTGTATTCTCTACATATGAACATAAACTCTATTTGTTATATCATGATTTTGATGTTTTTTAAAAATTCCTCATTTGGGGATGCCTGGTTGGTTCAGCGGTTGGGCATCTGCCTTGGGTTCAGAGTGCCAGGATCAGGTTCTGCATTGGGCTCCCCACATGGAGCCTGCTTCTCCCTTTCCTATGTCTCTGCCTCTTTCTCTCTGTGTCACTCATGAATAAATAAATAAAATCTTTTTTAAAAAAATCCATCTGTTTCAATGTTTGGAAGCCACCATAAAAGAAAACTGCTTTTTAACACTGCCTTTGCCCCAATAAATTTTATTCAGTGAAAATTATCACAAAAGCAGATGAGTCCACATGAGGTCCCTACCCTTTAAATAATCTATTTAATATGTATATATCATCCTTGACAACCATATATTATGACAAAATTACACAGTATACAACAAACTTGCATGCTTTTCAACATGCTACTTAGTATTTTCTTTATTCTTTACTGTCTCAGCTTTTGGGTTTTCTAAGTCTTTTCTACAGGAAAGGGGGGACAGTTGACATTGATGGTGCCATTTACCATTAAAACAGACTCCTGTGTAATTTGGAAAAATTACTCAAGCAGTAAAAAAAAAAATGATAGCAGATGATTAAGGAGGAAAGAAGAGAAAGTTAAGGGAGGAAAAAGTATGGTTCAAACTGATTAAGGAGGAAAGAAGAGAAAGTTAAGGGAGGAAAAAGTATGGTGATGGCTGAGCACAAGTCTTCAGAGGTGCCCATAAAAAACTAAATGAGAAAAGAAGGAGACATGAAGACCAGGTGGGATAAGCACTACAGAAATGTTAGGAAGGGAATTCAAGACCTAACATAAAGCTGGGCTTCCCCTCCGCATTCATCGTCTTTAATAAAATCTTGGTTTCTAAAAAGTAAGAGTAATTTTTCTTATACTAGCATAAAATCAGAGTAAGTAAAATTCACCATTATAAAAGAATAAAATATAACGGAAGTAGCAATAATCTGTTATTTTTAACCCAAAGAATCTAATTCCAAACAACACAGTACAAAAAACTGCCAAATTTTGAATCTCACAGATTGCTTCCTCAGCTCTCATTTTTAAATATCTCAAGTTCTTTGATCATTCCGCAGATGTCCTAGAAACAAATCTCTCTCTCTCTCTCATTTTCCCTTCAATGATTCCTCCCCAATTCATATATCTGAAATAGAAACATCATTTTCCCCTCATGTTCTGGTAAGAATCCTAGCTAGTTTAAGCTATACTGCCTTAAATAAAGAATCAAGGATCAGGTTTGAAGCTTAAGGGAACCAATATGTACATCATCCATCATGAAAGAAGCACAATATCACTTGCACCAAGCACTCCACCATAAAACATTCACATCAATTCAGAGATCAATTCTGTAACTATTAAGAATAGTGGCATAAAAATGTATCTGATTTCTGTACATTTTACATTTATAAAAAAGATATGTATAAAAATATATACATTTGTGTAGATATATATATGAAACTATTCATATTATCACTTTCCTTTATTTTTTTTTAAAGATTTTATTTTTTCATGAGAAACACAGAGAGAGAGAGAGAAACAGAGACACAGGCAGAGGGAGAAGCAGGCTCCATGCAGGGAGCCCAACATGGGACTTGATCCCGGGTCTCCAGGATCGTGCCCTGGGCTGAAGGCAGCGCTAAACCGCTGAGCCACTAGGGCTGCCCTATCACTTTCCTTTAAAAGTGAACACACCTTCCCCCCAAAAAAGTGAATACACCCAGCATTTGGGTATATTCCATTTCCAACTGCTTATAGACATATGTAAGAGTCAGGAATTTTTTTTAACTTGAGACACTACTGACAAAACTAAAATGTGAACGGCCAACAAAAGTCAAAAAACAGAAGAGAACATTTGAGGCAGATATTATAAATCCCTAGAAAATAAAGCATTTTAAAGAAGGACTAGTAAAAAGAAAAAAGTAAAGAATAAAAAAGGACAGAGATGTTTATAGAGAATAGCATACAAATGTATTCCTCTTTTCCTTTCAAAACTGTTGAAATAAGATGAAGATGACAGCAACTGAAGACTACTTTGAAAAACCTTATGTGTATAAGCTATCCTTCTATTTCTCAGGCTTTAATTTAAATATATTTCTGATGTATCATTCTCTCCATAGAAAAGAACATTATTTTAGTTTCAAGACTAAAATGAAAAAAAAAATTGGTGTATTGAAACACTTTTTAGAAGGTCACAAACTATTAAAATAGCCATTTAATAAAATATATGCTCCAATAATTAAAGAACATAGAGAACTTTGTATCTGTCATAATCATAATAGGTAATCAAATTCAATTCAGTAAGAAATCACTGGTATTTTGTGTCAGAGTAATATTTTTAATGAGATAATATAGGTTTAAGATGGGCATAATCTATACAAAGCCTAAAATAATTCCTCTGAACAAGTATACTCAGTAACTCAGCATACTCAGTAACATTTTTTTTAAGTCATCTTTAAAGAATGATGAATACAACCACATGAGGGGCACATTCTCTTTCATTTTTGCTTTGGTCTAACAGGACCTACTGCTACTACTGCTATCCTGTACTAAAACAACACATGATCATGTAACTTTGGATTACTTATTTCTTGAGTCAAAGTTACCTCAATCAACAGGATTAGCATGCTGGCACAAAGCTAGCTCTCAATATGTAAGTATAATTAACAAAAAGTAAGCTCCGGATAGGTAAGCATACGGATAACTAGATGTATCTCTTCATTTAATTCCACAATGACAAAATTCATGATTTTATACCCAAATATTTAAGTAAGCTAAAACTCTTCAATGTAATCTAAAACTAGTATTTAATCACAGATATGGATAAAAACTGTTTAGAAATTCTCCTCCAGGAATCTTACTTTTGCAATAAGCAGCTGAAATCCTTAATATTAATTCTAAATTAGTTTAATCCTTAATGAAATCTTTTAAATACTTTTAAAAATATTCTGTTCTTTTAAAAATAGCCACAAGAGGTCAGTCTTTCCTAAGATATGTTTAACATACTGCAGTACCATAGAAGACCAGTATTTTTGCAGTATACTATGTTATCCATTATAAATCAAATTTGAATGCAACATGCATTAAAGTCAGTCAAGTCATCAAACCTTTCAGGATTCAACCAAAAATTATAGATCATATTGATCACAAACCCACTATTTTAAAAGATCACCAAATCTAATTTCACTTGATTGTCAAAACAGGGTGTAGACAAAATCTTTACCAATTCCAGTTGTGAAGAAACAAACTATTAAGAAGTTGATTGTTCATCTGAAATTCTAAAAATAAAGTACATGAGATTTGGCTGTGCAAACAAAGGAGTATAAAATTTCTTTTAATCTTATTAGAAATATGAATCATTGTTGCAAAAAGCCATCACATGCTTACCTTGCCAACTATCATTGCAGACGCACAATTTTTCTCCCGTTAGGTCGCAGTAACCATGATCAGGACTGCCACAATTGGCTTTACAGTAAGGGATATCACAAGCTTCACCCTTCCAGTATTTATCACATTCACAATATACTTGACTTGGAACAGAAATACTCGTCGTACACTTCCCATGACCAGAGCAATTGTTAGGACAAGAATTGATTCTGTAAAATATAATTCATATATATTCAAATTCAAGGTAATTACAGAAGAATTTTGGTTGATATTTTGTAAACTTTACCACTTTTATGCTGTTTTATGTGCTCTGTTAACACAATTTCACAATGTGGCTTCAATGCTTTACTCTGTATCCTTTTGTCCCTAATGCAATTCACTTAATATTTATTTGCAATTGATCTTAATTCATTCAGGGAGTTTACGTTGTCACCCATACTTCAAACTTCAAAGGACTACACACTCCATATTTGCATAATCTATACAGTTCCAAACACAATGTTTTATAAAGACTTAGTATTCAAGTGTTTTGAATATACATTTTACAGAAAATAATTAAATTCATGAATACCTGAAACTACATGAAAAGCCAAGATATAACCTGGTTATATAATATTATTTAAATAGCATGTTATCATTTATATACTATCATAGAAGAAAGGGGATAATTATCAAATTTTATTTTAAAGCCTTTTAACCAATTATATTCTACTATATACTTATTCTTCCTCGCATACATGCTTGAGATAAAATAAATCCTAAACAACTTACTGATTTCAAATTCTAACAATCTAAAGATACATAGAGGGATGCCTGGGTGGCTCAGCGGTTGAGCGTCTACCTTAGGCTCGGGGCATAATCCCAGGATCTGGGATCAAGTCCCATAGCCGGCTCCTTGAAGGAAGCCTGCTTCCCCCTCTGCCTGTGTCTCCCTCTCTCTCTCTCTCTCTGTCTCTCTCTGTCTCTCTCTCTCTCTCTCATGAATAAACAAAATCTTAAAAAAAAATACTTAGAATATTTTATTCATGATGGAAAATTCTCTCGTTATATTCTACATTCCTGAGAAAAAGGAAAAAAAAAAGTGTATCAAGTTCCTCTGTGGTCATTCCTGTGAAAGCATCTGACATCATCTCTGATTCCTTCACTACACCATGGGACTTCCAGACATAAAAGTTTATATAAACTGCCAGACACATAATAGATTCTTAATAAAAATTATTTTTCTTCTTTTAGAGGAGACAGTGGTATATCCATCTACCTTACCTTAAGCCTCAATTTCCTCATATGTAAAATGGGAAAAATACCCATTTGATAGAATTGTTGTAAAGAAAATCAAAGAACATAATGTACACAGAGTATCCAGTACTGTCTCTGGAGAACAGAAAGACAAAACAAAGGCAGTTCACATAACCCATCTTCAAATTAGGAGTACAATACCTTCAAGCAGAGACACAGATGAAGACTCCCACTAATCCCACATCTGCTACCACAAGTAAGGTTACTCTAGTTTATACTTCTTTATTTAATCATTTACCAACAATTTTTAATTTATTTTTTTAATTTATTTATCTATTTATTTTAAGATTTTATTTATTTATTAGAGACACAGAGAGAGAGGGAGAGAGAGGCAGAGACACCGGCAGAGGGAGAAGCAAGATCCACTCAGCGTGCCTGATGTGGGACTCGATCCCAGGACTCCAGGATCATGCCCTGAGTTGAAGGCAAAATTTAAATTTCATAATTAAATGTCAACCAAACTTGCTACCATAAAGTCCTGACACTTAGAAAACAAGCTTAGAGACAGTACTTTACAGCATATGATTGAGATTTTTATCCTATTTTAATCCTATAATTTTGAAATTTACCACATTATCTTGCTCCTCACAAAGAAGATATCTATAAAAACAAATAATTTGAAGTTATAAGAATCATTACAATACAAAATTTTTAAGAATACTTACGAATAAAAAATGTTGAAACCAGTTAGATTATATGCAGCATCACTAAAAAAATGTAACAGTGCGTAGCCAGATGTTGTAACAACTTCAGGCACAGTTTCATTTCCCCTGATTTCAGGGACTATTAAACCACTGTAAGAGACCAAAATCGAATGTAATATATATTAATACACATACGACTGTTTATCACATTAAAATTTACTCAAAAATACCCTTGTCAGCATCCCTAAATATGTATAACAGAATAAGCAACTAGAATGATCAGTCTAAAAAAAGTTCCTCTCCATCTTCCACCCAATTGGTCCTCCTACTGCTGCCAATGGATGAACATGTGCTCTCATGCCACGACCCTCCTTTCCTTCCTTCACACCATGTGCACTGCAGCATCCCATTTCTCACTTTATCCTGCTATCCATTCTGTTATATCATGGGTTGATCTCTTAACCTACTTGTAAACCATCTCTTAAGGCCACCTATAGCCTCACTATATTCCTCTGGTTGCAAATTCTAATGAAGCTAAGAGAACACTCCACAGCAGCAAAGTGATTACAGTGGCATTCTAGTTAAACTTGTACACCTCCAGGACAGGTATTTTAGGTCATCTAAAAATATATATTATTTACATTTCTTTCAAATTTTGCATACTTATACAAATTAAATTAATATTCCAAAGGACACTTCAGCCCATACATACACAAAAGAAAACTAATGGTGGGAGTGGGGAGATTTAACATGCAAGAGTTTTGGGGCGGTAACCAGTTAGTAACTGGTACTTTCCCCTTTTTCATTCTCCTATTCATGAGGAAATATTACGTATCTTCATTTACTTATACCATACTACTCTCTCTAAATCTGTAAAACATGAAAGCAAGCTGCTAACAAATTACATTACTCGTAATAGTCCATTCCTTTAGGCAGTGTTAAATTTCTGTGTAGGCATCACCAGGAGTTGAATTCTCTCATTCAAATCATATTTAACAGAACGATATGAAATAGTCAAATAATTTATTTTACAAACATATTCTCAAAGCAAACAATAAGTAATCAAATCTTCATGTTTTCCTAATTATTACTGCATCTACTAATTTATGTTTGTGAAGGAACAAAAAATTTTAAAAGAGGACTATCAGAAGAATTCAAATTTTCTATAATATGAGTCTTAGGTATATTTTTCATTATAGTGAAATTACTTGAAGTAAGTACATTGCTAAAAATAATATTCCCAGGTCTTTATAATAAATATATAATATCTATTTATAATATTATATAGAACTAATATATAAATATATCTGTCATATTTTTATATTTTTATATATTATATTTTTTATATATATAAATTTCTCTGAAACAAAGAATAGATTTCTTTACTGGTTATTTATAAGTTTTCTAAAAAAGAATATTTTAAAAATAAATAAAAGAATTTTAAATAAATTGTTTATTTTTTAAAATAAACTTTAAAAAAGAAGGTTTGCATATCTTGTATGACACATCAAGCAATTTGGACCAACTAACCCCACCACTGAAGTCAACTAGAAAAATGACAAATTACATAAAAACCAAAAAATTTAATTTGAATTGGAGAATTAAGAAGATGGTGAGCCCAGGTACTGGAGTCATTTCTCCTTATGGGCATTTGCTGGTTTCAAAGTTGGAGATGAAGTCTAAAATTTAAGAAACTGGGTTGTTTTACAGAGCTAGGAGAAAAGTGGAACCCAGGTTCCTCGCTCTGACCTGGGACCCCAAAGACTATAAGTAAAAGTGAACTAGTAAAAGACCAGCCCTCCAGGAGATTGCACTGCAGCTTGTGTGTGAATCACCTCAATATCTAAATTCAGTTGACTGGATTGCTAGTGTCTTCAGGCACTCTCCATAGGAATATATTATCTTTCCAGGCCCCAAATTATTACATGTGATTTTACAAACATGCAATACAGCAAACAGTTGTCTGCACACAATAAAACAGTAACACTTCTCTATTTGTATCCATTCTCCACATTCTAAAGTCTTGCCTCTAGAAGAAAGCTCAATTCCCTTAGTGTGGTATACAGTGATTAAAGGATTAAAAAACCAGACTTATTAGTCTGACTACATTACTTACTAGGTAGGCAACTTTGAGCCACTCACTGATTCTCTCTGTGCCTCAATTCCCCATTTATGAATGGAGAATTTATAAACTTCTTGGCAGTAATAATCCTTAACTAAAGGAATACTGCACAGATTAAAGGAATTAATATATATAAAGAACGCTTGCTTGCATACTGCCTGGTACATAATAAGCATTCGGGAGATGTACTGATTACTGCTTATTGGGTAATCTGGCTCCTACCAATCCCTTCACATTTCCTATGATCAAATTACTCACAACTACTTATATTAGCCTGAAACATAATGCTCTTAAATGTGTCTATGCCTTTGTACATGTTTTTTCTACCAAGAATGTCCCATCTGGCCCCCATACTTTGCCTATTATTCTTCTACCTATGATGAAATTCACCATGAAGAATTAGTTACTTCTAAAATCATATACCAAAAAAAATTTTTTTAAAATAAAATAAAATCATATACCACTCTTTTCATAACCTGATTATAATATTTACTGTGCTGAGTAAAAAATTCTGTGTGCATGCTGCCACCAGTGCCTAACCGCTGTGTACTGATATAGACTCCAAATCCTTGGAATTTTCCAAGTGATAGGAGTCTTTTTATTCATGGGGAGCTCTGATGTTTATGCTAGTGAGGTGACTCAGGGTGGAGCTGGCCACACCAGAAAGACCAATCATACAATTAAAGGGTTGAGGCTTTGAACCACAAGAAATCAATCCAACTTCCAGAGAGAGGAGGGCGACTAGAGACTGAGTTCGAACTTGTGGCCAATGATTGAATCAATCATGCCTATATAATGAAACCCCAACAAAAACTCTGGGCACCTGTAGCTCAGGTAAGCTTCTTGGATGATGATACACATTGGTGTGCTGGGAAGGTAACACATCCCAAGGACAAAAGTTGTTTGTGATCCTCCCAGATCTCATTCTATATGTCTTTTCATTTGGCTGGTAATTATTTTTCTCCTTTATCTTAAAACTATAATCATAAGTATAGTGTTTGCCTGAGTTCTGTGAGTCATTTTAGTGAATTATTGCACCTGAAGGGATGGTGGGTACCCCTAAATCTGTAGCCAGCTAGTCAGAAGTGTGGGTAGGACCTGAGGATCTCTAAACTTGAAGCTGGTGTCTGAATTAAGGGCAGTCCTATGGAGGGCTGTGCACTCAAGCAGTGAAGTCTGGCCCAACTCTAGGTAGCTCGTGTGTGAATTCATTGCAATGCCTGATCATATTCCTTACTATATTCTCCAGGCTTATGATAGTCTCTGGAACTGAGAAAGTTATCACATATTTGCTGAATAATGTACATTTACATAACTGGAATCATTCAAACACTTAGATTCTGAATTCATAGTATACAGGCTTTTAGATCAGAAGACTGTCATGTCCTAATCCTGGCTCCATCATCTATTAGAAGTAAAACAATTCCCCTGAGTCTCAATTTTCTCAGCTATAAAATGGGGATAACCACTTCTTCCACAAGATCCTTGTGAGAATTAGATAACATTTAAACTGCCTAGTACATTGCTTAGCTCAAGTGGATACTCAGTAAACATCTTCCATCTCTTTCAAGATAGCTGTTAGGAGCACTTGCTAACAAAAAGTCACTGGTTCCATCCTCACAGACATATACTAAATTCCATCCTGCTAATTATCTTACAAAGTTTCCTTTACTACCAAAAAAGCACTGGTAAGAGTGTTAATGGATTACTGTTAATTAATGCAAAGTCGTTACAAGTATGAACAAAACAAATGGAAAGGCACACATCTAAATGACAGTCAACAGTATCATAAAAATAGAATAACGATAGCTGAGTAAAATCTAAATTGCTAAAAATTAATGTATGAACCCAGAATCTTACCTAATTGTTACTATGAATTATCTTACAATATAATTATCCGTAAGACTATTCCATTTTCTACCTATTGTCCTTGGATGAAGGGGTATTTGTGGCAACCCTTTAAATAATTTTCAGACAACTCAAAAATTAAATTCTGAAAGTCTTTAGAGTAATAGCCATAATCCTATTGCTATGAATGTGTCTAAGATGCTAAAGAGTCACTGTGAAATATTCATTCAGAAATACAAGTCCTTACATGTCTATCCAAAAAAATAATAGTCTACATTCCTGGTAAACAAAGTAGTTGCAACATAAATAAAAAGAAAAAAGAAAATTTAAAAATTTGAAGGGAACAATAAGCTTTTATCTTCATTTAAATTTTTAACAGTAACAGAACATATAAGCAGTACTACGGATATAAGAAATATAAGAATAAATAAATCAGTAACTTGGTCAACAATCATGTTAGTTAATTATATTCAAAATCAACACTGATCACCACAATCCTAATTTTTCCTATGTCAAATATATTTTCTCCTATTCATAAAACATTTTATAATAATTTATATTACTTACATAGAAAAGATTTTTAAATTGATATTGAAAATGCTGTAATTAGTTGAGCATAAAGTTCAGGGTCCACTTCTGGGTTCTCTGTTCTGTTCCATTGATCTATATGTCTGTTTTTGTGCCAGTACCACACTGTCTTGATGAACACAGCTTTGTAGTACAACCTGAAATCTGGCATTGTGATGCCCCCAGATATGGTTTTCTTTTTTTAAAATTCCCCTGGCTGTTTGGGGTCTTTTCTGATTCCACACAAATCTTAAAATAATTTGTTCTAAGTCTCTGAAGAAAGTCCATGGTATTTTGATAGGGATTGCATTATACGTGTAAATTGCCCTGGGTAACATTGACGTTTTCACAATATTAATTCTGCCAATCCATGAGCATGGAATATTTTTCCATCTCTTTGTGTCTTCCTCAATTTCTTTCAGAAGTGTTCTGTAGTTTTTAGGGTATATTTTGAGAACCATTTGAACTTTATGCTCAACTAATATACAATAAAGGAGGAAAGACGATCCACTAGAAGAAAGACAGTCTCTTCAATAAATGGTGCTGGGAAAATTGGACATCCACATGCAGAAGAATGAAACTGGACCACTCTCATGCACCATACACAAAGATAAACTCAAAATGGATGAAAGATCTAAATGTGAGACAAGATTCCATCAAAATCCCAGAGAAGAACTCAGGCAACACCCTTTTTGAACTTGGCCACAGTAACCGGAGAAGGACAAACAGTGTATGTTCTCATTCATTTGGGGAATATGAATAATAGCGAAAGGGAATATAAGGGAAGGGAGAAGAAATATGTGAGAAATATCAGAAAGGGAGACAGAACATAAAGACTTCTAACTCTGGGAAATGAACTAGGGGTGGTGGAGGGGGAGGAGGGTGGGGGGTGGGGGTGAATGGGTGACGGGCACTGAGGGGTACACTTGACGGGATGAGCACTGGGTGTTATTCTGTATGTTGGTAAATTGAACACCAATAAAAATTAATTTATAAAAAAAAAAAAAAGAAACTAAACAAAGAAAAAAAAAGAAACAAAAAAACAGACTCTTAAATCCAGAGAACAAATTGATGGTTACCAGAGGGGAGGTGGGGGGGGGGGGAGGGTGTAAAATACACCTGAAACTAATACAACACTGTATGTTAATTATACTGGAATTAAAAGATGCTTTTTTATTTAAAAAAAAAAAAAGAAAATGCTGTAATTTTAAAATTTAAATCTGACTGCCTGACTACTAACAATAAGTATTTTGAAAGAACAAAAACTCCCAAATTTTGAGAACTGAAAGAAACATACCCATTATTAAACCATTACATAAAGTGTAACTTAACTTTTTATTTACAGAATTGGAAATTTTATCATTTCACTAAAATAAAAAGACAACTATAGAAAACATACACATCTTTATCTCTTTGTCATCTAGAACTCATATTAATCTGTCTAATAGGTAGCTCTGAAAACATATTCACATCATTTTAAAAGAATAAACTATATGTAGCAAGAATAAAGGATACTTTTTAGGAAATCTACATTTCTGAAATGAGTACTCATTTATCTTTACTAAATCAAAATTTACACTATTATATATACACCTAAGTTGACAATCACAATATGCAACATAGTATTATAACATCTCTGAAACTTAGCAATCAGTATCTCTGCTAAATTTATTTTAAAGCCCAGAGTAGTATATATTTAAAATTAATAAATTACACTTATTCCTCTACAACTGTCAATTCACCAATTAAAACACAATTACTCACCTAAGAACTGCTATTAAAGGTGCATATATTGAATCTCCATCATAAACATACATATGATCCCAGCTACATTCTGTTGCAAAATGATTGAATCTTAATCTTAACACTGCATTTGGACTGAAAAAAATATTAAAATGTTTAAATTCATATGTAATATTCAAAGCAGAGTCAGAAAAAAATTTGAGTACTGTATTAAAAACCTATTTACAAAAAACAAATAAAAAATTTTTTAAAAACCGATTTACAAAAAAAATTCTATTTATTATTAAGTTACAGATAAAGAGTATTATATACATTATAAAAATGAGGGACACCTGGCTGGCTCAGTCAGAAGAGCATATAACTCTTGATCTCAAGGTTGTGAGTTTGAACTCCAAGTAGGGTGTAGAAATTACTTAAATAAAATTTTAAAAATAAATCAAATGTAAAAATGACATGCAACTTCAAAATCTATTAACTGTATATATAAATCACCATTTTCTAAAACTTTAGTCAGCAGTAAATGTTCTATGTCTTGATTAAGGTGGACATTACACAGATTGTATATATTACTGGAGCTATGTTGAACTGTACACTTAACATGAATTTTATTGTATACGAATTAAACTTGAATGAAGTTGATTTTTAAAATTCAACACTCAATAAGTAACATCTCGTATTTCTACATAATACTTATTAGCTAAAGGCCCTACTATGGTCTTGAAATTTTAATCAAAAGGTCTCAGTAGGATATATTATTAACAAATAAATAAGATGAAAAAAAAGGGTGGGGGACACTTGGCTGGCTCAGTTGGTAGAGCATGTAGCTTGGGGTCATGAGTTCAATCCCCATGCTGGGCATAGAGATTACTTAAAAAACAACAAACAAACAAGACAAAAATAAACAAAATGAAACTATCAATGTACAGGAAATTAATAATTTCTAAAAACCTATCTAAATAACCTTCCCCAAAAATAACATTTTCCAAATACACTCTTTAAGAACCATAATATAACTTGTATCAATTCATTTATGATCTATTCACAGTATGTTTAAATAGATCAATCCAAACTCAGGCCCTAATTACTGAAAAAATCTCCTAAAAGGATAATTAACTCTCTCTTACAAAATGTTCTTTTTAAATACCCTTATAAAAAAAAAAATACCCTTATAACTAAAATACTGAAGAGTATAAACCAATGGCATAATTCAGCATGGAATATTTTTATCTTCTCTATGGCATCTTCAAATTCCATAACAAGATGTTTAAAGTAAGCCAAAAACGTCTACTTACTGCCACACTAACATAACTCTAAAATATATGTAACAAACTATTATCACAAGTAAAGGGATACTATAATTTATATTAAGGGCAGCCCAGGTGGCTCAGAGGTTTAGCGCCACCTTCAGCCCAGGGCATGATCCTGGAGACCCGGGATAAAGTCCCATGTCAGGTTCCCTGCATGGAGCCTGTTTCTGCCTCTGCCTGTGTCTCTGCCTCTCTCTCTGTCTGTGTCTCTCATGAATCAATAAATAAAATCCTAAAAAAAAATAAAATAAAATAAAGTTTAAAAATTTTATATTAAATGTGATATCTAAAAGTTGCAAATCTCATTTAAAAATATCATGAGGGATCCCTGGGTGGCGCAGCGGTTTGGCGCCTGCCTTTGGCCCAGGGCGCGATCCTGGAGACCCGGGATCGAATCCCACATCGGGCTTCCGGTGCATGGAGCCTGCTTCTCCCTCTGCCTGTGTCTCTACCTCTCTCTCTCTGTGACTATCATAAATAAATTGAAAAAAAAATAAAAATATCATGAATAATAACTGAATATACTATAAGCAACTGAATGAGCTATATACCTATAAAATTACATTTTAATACTTTAACATTGATATGATCATTTTCTTTATCATTTCAGAATAAAATTTAAAAATCAATTTAATCCAAATTATATACTTACTAGCCTTCAATTAGCCATGTGCATTTAGTTTTATATTTATAGTTAATTGGACCGTCTGTTAAATATCCAGAAGGTTCTGTTAACCTAGAAAACAAAATCATGAAAAAATTACTTTAAAGTAACTTTAAAACATATAGTAGCATAAGAAAATTAAAAAGACATTAAACCAAAGAAATGAGATGTAGCATTTTCCACAGGGAGAATTTATTTACAAATTAGAAAAGTTTTCAAATTGCCCTGTATCTCCCTACAACTCAAAACAATTTATTCTGGATTTCTCTACACCTTGACATATTTCAACTGTTTAATTTTGCACAGTGAAAAAATACACTGAAAAATTGAACCCTCTACTGATGGATTTAACGCAAAAATAGATGAAGTTAAATTGCCTCTGTACAAAAATAAGATGGAGGCAAAAGAAGGAAGGTCAAAAGCACTTTAAAAGATGCAGATCAGGGCAGCCCCGGTGGCGCAGCAGTTTAGCGCTGCCTGCAGCCCGGAGTGTGATCCTGGAGACCTGGGATCGAGTCCCACATCGGGCTCCCTGCATGGAGCCTGCTTCTCCCTCTGCCTGTGTCTCTCTCTCTCTCTCTCGAATAAATAAATAAAATCTTAAAAAAAAAAAAAGATGCAGATCAAAGAAATAGAGAAATAGCGTATGTACATAACCACTTTCAGAGTTACAGTGTTAGCTATGTTTGCTTTTGGTTTTGGCTTTGGCTTTCTTTAGTTCTCAGGTTATCCATTCTCAAGCAATTATTTACTTATTCATTTATTTTAATTTCAGCTAACACACAATGTGATACCTGTTTCAAGTGTACAACTCAGTGATTTAAGAAGTTTATACATTATACTAGATGCACCACAAGTATCGCCACAATCTGTCCCGTTACATCTATCAGAATTGCTAGGGTAGTTGTCACCAGACTTTACTGTGTGCAACTACCTGTTTTTTTAAGATTTTCTCTTGTCTATTTTATACCAAGAACTCAATTTTGAAAATAGGATAAATCAAAGGTTTTATAATTATCTTCTATTTCAAACATAAAAAAGACAATTCTTAGAAAAATTTCTGTTTTTATAATTTAAAAATATTTAAAACAAGATCTCAATTGTACTTCATTTTGTTCTCCTTAGCTCCAGCCCAATTGTCTTATCCACAAAACACCTAAGTAATTAAGATATCTTCCCATTTAGATTTTATATATTATACAAATACATCTATTTATAAAAACACACACAAGGACTTATCAGTCTTTATATATTCACTTATACATAAATACATATACATAATATACACATATGCACATAGATCTCTAGGTCACTATTTAGTTTTAGATAAATAAAATTTTCCTTATAGTATAAACTCATCTTAACTACACTAGGAAAATAAAAGTTTCATTTACCTAAATCGTGGTTCACAGAAATGTCAGTCAATAAAAACATTATTTGTAAATCTTTCATAATCCCTGCAGATTATTTTAGGCAATAAAGAGGCTAATTCGGGACACCTGGATGGCTCAGCAGTTGAGCGTCTGCCTTTGGCTCAGGGCGTGATTCTGGAGTCCTGAGATCAAGTCCCACATCCGGCTCCCTGCATAGAGCCTGCTTCTCCCTCTGCCTGTGTTTCTGCCTCTTTCTCTGTGTCTCTCATGATTAATAAATAAAATCTTTAAAAAAAAATAAAATAAAGGGGCTAATTCATGCTTGGGAAAGTTTTTTAAGAACAAATTCCAATATCTCAAATTAGTAATAAAATGTGAATTTTCTGTGTCAGGATCTACTGTAAGAGCATGATGTGTTACCTCATTTAAAAATCTCAAAAAAAACCTTACAAGATAATAAATAATTATTAACACCATAATACAGATGAGAAAACTGAGGCACAATCTATAAAGAACAAGTTAAATAACTTGTCCTGATTTTTCACTTCCAACAATACCAGATAAGGTAATTCGGACAAATCCTGCACTGAAAACAACTTTAAAAAGCTGAGGAACAGGAGATCCCTGGGTGGCTCAGCAGTTTAGTGCCTGCCTTTGGCCCAGGGTGTAATCCTGGAGTCGCGGGATCAAGTCCCACATTGGGCTCCCTGCATGAAGCCTGCTTCTCCCTCTGCCTGTGTCTGTGTCTCTTCCTCTCTCTCTCTCTCTAATAAATAAATAAAATCTTAAAAAAAAAAAAAGCTGAGGAACAATTTTAAAATCTTAAATGCATCTTATAAGCAACAAAATAGTAAGATCTACCAACTCAAGACCCAGACCTTGCAAATTCTTTAAGAAGAGGCAGGCATTCAGAGCTGCTTTTTGCTCTGGAGAGACCTGCCTATTGAGAGGACAATATCAAAAAGCGGCGCGCTTTTGGCAGCCTGAAACAGGGAGGGACACGACAGTTGAAGGCAATGGCCCATGAAACGTACAGGCTCAAGATGGCACAGCACTTTGAATTGAGATGCCATGACCTGTTATTAGAGTAAGGGTGTACCAGAAGTAAACTAGCCCCTGCATTGACTGCAGCCTAGCTATGAGTTAACTGGATGGCTGGAAACCTCAAGACTTAAAACTGGCTTAAAATGATACTGGAAATGCCAGGAGGCCAAAGTTCCTAACAGAAGATACAAAAATACTCTAAAGAAAGATAACATCATTCTAGACCTCAAATTATTTCAAATAAAAATATAACAATTTTTCAAAAAAAAAACAATTTTTCAAATAAAATGTCTACCACAATTAAAGATACTAAGACATATGAAGATGCATGACAACAAAATAAGAACCAACAGACAACAGAAAGAGAACTGAAGATTTCAACTACAGAGATTATCAGATGTGTCATATAAAACAAATATGCTTTACTAAGCTCAACAAAAGACAAGATTTAAAACTCTGGCAATTAATTGAAAACTGTAAAAAGTAAGAGAGCATATTTGAAAAAATAATAGACATACTAATACTGAAAACTACCCTAATCAATATTAAGAATTTGATGCACAGGTTTACAGCACATTTAAACATAGCTAAAACAGGATGAGAGATCCAGAAGACAGGCCCATAAAAAATATTCAACCAAAGCAGAATGACTGGAAATCAACCCACTGGACTCTACCAGGTGAAACTCCAACAGCCTGAGACTCTAGCTGAGAGCAGGGGAAATAAAATAGGGAGTAGAAGAACAAAACCACAGATATCAATTATCATGTTATAACACATAAAAACAAAGATCATAACAGTTTTACACAGTTTCTATTTGCTAGTTATAAGTATATCTTCTCTCCTCATTTTTATTTTACATACAATTTGTTTTAACTCTACAATTTAGACTTTAGATAATGGCATATTCAATATGACTATGAATATGAAGAGTAATTAATACAACCAACCACAGATATAATGACCCTTCGAACTGTGTACTTCTTCTTTTTGGTCAAAGGGTGAGAACCTCAGTTGGAAGATGTGTACCTTCTTAGATAAAAATATAGCGTTGTTGTTTGCTAGGGAATTCACATATGTTTAGAAGGAAACATAAAGAAGCTGAATAACCAAAGGGTAGACTGTGCCAATTATCCACTGCCTCTCGCCTCAAAACCCAGTTTACCTACTCTGTGAAAATAGATCTGGGCCCTTTAAATATGTTTTCTTTGTCAGATGGCATGATGTTAAGCTGGCATGCTTTGTCAACAGAGTGCACTAGAAAAAGTATAGGAGACAAGAGTTTTGTTTCCAGGTTCCAATGTACTTAACAATCTCCTGCAGCTTGGCTTCTCCAGGACTAGGATCCTATGGAATGTGATGGCCAGCAAGCCAGCCACCAGTAGCTTCTCCTAGCACCTCCCCTCAGGAAATTCTGCAGCAGAGTGCCTTCAGTGAGACACTGCCTCACAAACAGCATTCTTCATCTCTCAGTAAGATAACCATAGCAAGTTCCAAAGGGCAGATATCAAACAATTTCTACCAGTGCAGCATGACAGCAACTGTACCTTTCAGGGAGCCACAACCAGGCCCTCTCAACACGGTCTGGATCTCAGGCCAGGAGGTGGGAACTTGTACGTAAGTGTTCTATCTCAACCATAAGGTTAGTAGTGGCTCCTCCTTATATCCACTATCTCTACATCGTTTGGAGAAACCTTTACTTCTTACTAGCCGATTTCTCATTATCCCAATCCCCGGTACAATCAAAAATTATTTACATTAAAACTTCCCTGTTAAGATTATGTGATTCTCTTTTCTGATTGGACCCAAACCGATCAATAATAATCAAGGATATGCAAAATACAATCACAATTACATACCACCACTGTGCACACAACAAAACTAAGTTAAAAAGAATAATATCAAATATTGGCAAAGATGTGGAAAAAAGAATTGTCACAACTTCCCAAAGTAATTTGGCATTATGTTACATAGTATAAAACAGATATATCTTTTGAAGTAGCCAACAGTGTCTGTGCTACCCCCGTATTCTCTCAGACCCTCTTTGCTATTTCCATACACTCTGCCTGACTTCCTTAGGTGAGCACCTGCATCTTTGCTGGAGGCCTCCCCTCTGGCTGCTGGAACCTACACTTCCTCTGATAAGCTGAAAGTGCTTATAAATCAATATCCTCCCAGAGGTATCCCCTAGTCAATGAAAGATTGGATAAAAGTGTAAATACCCTAAGCTTCCTTACCTCTTTGTTGGGATTATAATGCAGTGCATTTTCTCCCCAGTACTTCCCAGTGGGATTAAGCTCTAGTCGTCGTCGTCGTCCCCCACCCCCCCCCCCCCCCCCGTGGTAGGTGACTTGATAACATAATTCTTACTGGCTACTTCTCTGTATGATTCAGTCAGTGTCCCTGCATCTCCCAAGTATATTATATGTGCTCATTTCTCAGTGTAAAAGCAGATACTTCTGCTTCGGGAGGCGGGGGGGGGGGGGGGCGGCGGTGACCAAACTAATAGTTACCAGCAGGAAGCAGATCTTCAAGACAGGATTCTAGGGTTGGATCACTCAATGGGTAGATGGTAGACAGAATGGTAATAACTCCTGGCATGCCACAGCATCACAATGACTAAGACTCTAAACCTGTGAGCTGAGATGGGATACC